AGCAGGTCGAGGGAGGTGATTCTGCCCCTCTACTCAGCTCTGGTGAGACCTCACCTGGAGTACTGCGTCCAGCTCTGGAGCCCTCAGCACAAGAAGGACCTGGAACTGTTGGGACGGGTCCAGAGGAGGGCTACAAAAATGATCCGAGGGCTGGAGCACCTCTCCTATGAGGACAGGCTGAGAGAGTTGGGCTTGTTCAGTCTGGAGAAAAGGAGGCTACGGGGAGACCTGATTGCGGCCTTCCAGTACCTAAAGGGGGCCTATAGGAAAGATGGGGAACGTCTTTTTCATAGGGCCAGCTGTGTTAGGACAAGGGGAAATGGTTTTAAACTAGAACAGGGTAGGTTCAGGCTAGAGGTAAGGAAGAAATTTTTTACAATGAGAGTGGTAAAACACTGGAACAGGTTGCCCAGAGAGGTAGTGGAGGCCCCATCCCTGGAAACATTCAAGGCCAGGTTGGATGGGGCTCTGAGCAATCTGATCTAGTTAGCAGTGTCCCTGCTCACTGCAGGGGGGTTGGACTAGATGACCACTAGTGGTCCCTTCCAACCCTAAACAGCTTATGAAACCTTGTCAAACCCCTGTTAAACTTTGTTAAATTCCATCAAATTTATTGAACTCTGTCAAATTATTATTTTCCCTCAGTAAAACCTATTGCTGCTTCTCTCTTTTGAGTGAGGTGCATTGAAGTTATCTGCGACACCAGCCCACCCATAAGCCTTTGCCTTACCACATGCACTGCTAGAAGAGATTAAGTTGGAGGTGAGGTTATCTGCATCATAGGAAAATTGAGAGTGCAGGGGAGCTCAGGAGGTCTCGATTGCAACACCCAGATCAAAGCAGGGTGAGCTCTGAGGTCAGAGCAGCTTGCTCAGTAAATGCCAGCATCCACTGAAAGAGTTTACATTTGACCACCTTGCAGAACAGGGCTACTGCTAGACCATGCTTCCTGAGATTCCTGGGAGCATCCACCTTTTTGCCCAGTGGAGCGGGATTCTGCTGCACATTTCCTGGCATATCTCCAGACCATGGGGTGCTTTAGGCTGTAAAGAGAATTAAAAGAAAGCCTCTGGCTTGGGTACTGTCAACTGAACTGCTGAAGGAGGAGGGAGATGGAGAGATCTCATGACTCATAGGAAGCAGTTGAAGATAACACACTTGACAGAGTGTAGCCTTTAGATCATTTCAGATGTGAGGGCTCTGCTCCCCCATTTCAACCCCTGGCACCCAGAAAACTCACCTGCTTTTCCTCCCTCTCCTCTCAAAGTGACCAAGCGATGGGAAGAAGGGAAGCAGAAAGGCCCTAGGCCTCTCTGAATCAGCTGGGGTCTGGCACCTGGAGGGCAATGGTGCCATTTCATTGTACACCCTATAAAGAACAAAGCTGTGAAGTGAGCCTGCACGTGCGAATCCACAGGGTCCATGGACAGGCAAGGCTGTGCCTCTGGCTGTGACTGGAGACCAGTACACCTGCAGCATAGATGAAGAGGGGGCTGAAAGTGGGCTTCAGTGGTCTCCTGATTGGGCAGATTTGTCACATCAAAACCTGGTACTAATAGACTGGACGCCATGTGTAGAAAGGCTTTGCTTGCCAGCAGAGGCATGCTGGAGTGGGTGGCAGGTGGCAACATCATGATGAACGAGGTTCCCACAAAAAGAGCAAAAGCTGCAGTCCCCAAAGCCAGGGAGACACAGACCTGGGCTGTGCAGCCCTGGCAGGAGAGTAGCTTGCTCTCCCATGCGTCTCTGCAGCACTGTGTGGGGCCTGTGATAGAGGTGAAGCTGATCTCCAGGAAGGACAAGCTGCTGTTGAGAAAGTCCCTGGGGGAGGACAACCTCTGATCCAACCACACAGTGGACATCATGCTGGGGGCTCACCGGATGGATAGCAGCTGTGCAGAGAAGGACCTTGGGATCCTGGAGGACAACAACCTGAGCATGAGCCATCAATGCACCCTTGCAGAAAAGGCCAACATCTTCCTGGGCTGCATTAGGAAATAGCAGATGGAGGGAGTGACCTTTTCTGTCTACTCAGCACTCGTGAGGCCCTGTCTGAACTGCTATGTCCAGTACTCGTCTCCCCAGTGCAAGAAAGTTGTTGACCTTCTAAAGCAAGTCCAGCAAAGGACCACAAAGGTGGTTTAAGGGACTGGAGCATCCTTCATAGTAGAAAAGTCTTAGAGATGTGGGACTGTTCAGTTTGGAGAAGAGGCTTTGAGGGAGAATATTAATGTATATAAAATTCCACCTGAACCCATGAAAACACTTTTTGACAATGAAGATGGTCAATCACTGGAAGAGGTTGCCAGAGAGGTTGTGGAGTGTCCACCCATTGAAATATTCCAAACCCACCTAGACAAGGTCCTGAGCAATCTGCTCTAGTTGACCTTGCCTCAGCTGCAGGGTTGAATTAGATGGTCTCCAGAGGTCCCTCCCAATCACAACATTTCCATGATTCTTTCAGTATAAAAAAGAGCTATTTTGTCTTTGCCAATGACAGCAATTGGTAAGCCATCTCCTCGTCTTTATCTTGACTGACGGGCTTTTCTGATTTATTTTCTCCCTGTGTCCTGTTGAGTCAGGAGAGTGTGTGAGCAGCTGAGCGGCTGTCTGGCTGCTGGCCGTGGTTAACCCACCACAGGACCACATCAGGACTGCTGCGTCCAGTATGGGCTTCCCAGCACAAGAAAGAGCCTGACAGACTGGAGTGAGTCCTGCCAAGGCCAGAAGGATGGTTGGGTCCTGGAGCACATCATGGACAAGGACAGGCTGAGAGAGATGGGGTTTTGAGAAATCCCTCAGAGCCAAACACTGCAGCAATGATCCAGGCCAGTAGGTGGGATCTCAATCAATGCACTCTTTTAATATTTGTCAAGACAAGGCCATGAACACCTGATCAAGCTGGAGGTGTCTATCAGTAGGAACCCGGTTTCCTTTTTATTAATAATGGCAGTGGAGTTGGGTATCAGTGAGCACCAGAGGTGGACAGGGATGACCATGCAACAAAGGTCCCTCCTCAGTGTCTGGCCAGAGATGGAAATGGCTGCTGTGTGGGACTGTTCTGGGACATTTTTGCTGGGGCAGCTTCCCTGGGATGTCCAGGGAACATGGCACAGACCAGGCCCCTCTCTTCTGCACCTTTGATGTCTTGCTTCCTTCATCGTGTCACCTGGCTCTGCACCGTGAGTGCTGGCTGCCCCTGCCCTGCACACTCACACGGCTCAGCTCTACACTGGCATTTTTCTCTCCTGGGCCTATCCTCTCCTCACCCTTCCAAATTAATTTCCAGAGCGTCTGGTATATGCCATCAGTCCTGTCATATATCAGTTAACCTGAGGGACTAATTTAAAGCTCTTGGACCATCTCCCCTCCCATTGGACACCAACAAATGACCTTTAAAACCAGAACTTTGGTCCAATGGAAAACAACGTTACTGTGAACTTAATCCCCAAAAATACTGAGAAGACAATGAGAAGACACTCTTTAGAAGACCAATTGTTTGGACATTTTCTTGGCTGCAACTTTGGAGATAGAGCCCAGCCTTCAGGTACTGCACCTGGGAGATCCCCTTCCATTGAAGAGCTAAAATCTGATAGGCCACATGCGTCACAGTGTTAAGCAACGTTCAGACACAACAGGATAAAACCTCAACAGGAGTATAAATGCAGAAAATTATCTCTAATTAGAATTATAACAAGATAAAAAAGCAGAATTGTGGCCTAAGCTAAACACTGGGAATTGTGTGGGTTATTGCCAGTGAAACAGCACCCATCGGATCATTTTCCATGAGGCATCCTTGATTTCCTTGTTCCTCAAGGTATAGATGAGGGGGTTCACTGTTGGAGTCACCACCGAGTACAGAACTGCCACGATGAGATCTAGGGTTGGGGAGGAGATGGAGGGGGGCTTGAGGTGATCAAACACTGCAGTGCTGAGAAACAGGGAGACCACGGCCAGGTGAGGCAGGCACGTGGAAAAGACTTTGTGCTGTCCCTGCTGAGAGGGGATCCTCAGCACAGCCCTGAAGATCTGTACATACGAGAAAACAATGAAAATAAAACACCCAAATGCAATACAGACACTAAACACAAGAAGCCAGCCCTCCCTGAGAGAAGCATCTGAGCAGGAGAGCTTGAGGATCTGGGGGACTTCACAGAAGAACAAGTTCACATCATTTCCATGGCAAAGGGGTATGGAAAATGCATTGGCCGTGTGAATGAGAGCATTGAGAAAGCCACTGCCCCAGGCAACTGCTGCCATGTTGATACAAGCTCTGCTGCCCAGCAGGGTCCTGTAGTGCAGGGGTTTGCAGATGGCAATGTAGCGGTCATAGGCCATGACAGTGAGAAGATACAATTCTGCTGACATCAAAAAGAAAAACAAAAAGACTTGGACAGCACATCCTGTGTGGGAAATGACCCTGATGTCCCAGAGTGAATTGGCCATGGATTTGGGAACAGTGTTAGAGATGGATCCCAGGTCAAGGAGGGAGAGGTTGAAGAGGAAGAAGTACATGGGGCTGTGGAGGTGGTGGTTGCAGACTATGGCGGTGATGATGAGTCCGTTTCCCAGGAGGGCAGCCAGGTAGATGCCCAGGAAGAGGCAGAAGTGCAAGAGCTGCAGCTCGCGTGAGTCTGCGAATGCCAGGAGGAGGAAGTGGGTGATGGAGCTGCTGTTGGACATTTTGGCCTTCTGGGCATTGCGATCTGTTCAAGAAGGTAAAGGAAGTGAGAAGTTAGGACAGCTTTCTTTAAGAAAAGTATATTCAATGTCTTATAGAACTCCTCAAAATTGACTTTCCCTTTTCAGGAAGACCTTGGGTCAGCTCCTATTGCTGCTGGCTGAGGGTGCTCAGGGAGCAGGAGTCTGCAGCAATAGGTAAACAGGAAAACGAAGTGATCTCAAAAACCACGTGTGATATCAAACATCTTTTCAGGGTTTTCATTCCCAATTCAGTTGACAGCAGAGCAGAGCTGTGGGGATTTTGTTTTCTGCCTTCTCTTCCACTTGCCCCACCACGGCTCAGGAGTGGTTTTCATGCAGAAATCCCTGGCATTTCTGCTGCGCTACCAGGGAAAACTTGTGGGTCCTGAGAGGCAAAGGGCTGTCCCTGAGTGCAGAGGGAGGACAGACACTCAGTCCATCAGCCCTGGGCTCAGCTGCCCTGTGCTGGCAGCTCCTTCAGCTCCAGGACCATCGGGCTGGACGTTCCCCCCAAAAGAAACAGGGCACTGCTGGGAGCAGAGGAATCGAATTTCCAAGTGCAGATGTCCAGATCCCTCAGCCCATTGTACCTGAAGAGGATCTCAGCTCTGCCCTCCCAAACAGGGACACCCAGGGCTCATGGCAGCTGCCCACCTACAGCCACCCAGCAGCATTTCAGTGGCCTCAGCACCCAGAGGTCTTCTCCGTGGGGCTCCTGCATAAAACAGAGACACCACAGGAGAACTTTGCCCTCCTTGAAGGCAGTCTGCAGCCCAGTAGGACCTCCCAAGGAAAGAGTCCCATCTCCTCCCTTTGTTACATCCTGAAGAGAGGCTGAGGTCCCTGCCAGCTGCACACACTGCAGTACCCAGAGCCCCAAAGGTTCACAGGGGATGAGTGGGATGCTTTTCCTCCATGGACATACGTGCACGGCAGAGCACACAGCGTTGGTGTCTGAGCTGCACTTGAATCCTCACTCCCCACCCCAGGGAGTGTAATAGTAAGAGCAAAGGCGGCAGGGAGAAGAGGAGAAGATGCCCAAGTACCCCTTTACGAGGGAGGCAGGAGAGGGAGACACAGTCAGACACGGGAGTTTCTGTCCTCTTTCGTGTTCAGGCTGCTGGGCAGGAAACTGATGCCCAAGTCTCCATGACACTGAGGGCAGAGGCACTGCTGTGTGAGTGAGGAGACCACAGCGTGGCTCCAGGGAAAGCGTTTGCACTGCAGGGAGATGCCTGAATCCCTCCTCCCACAGCATTTCTGGCAGCAATTCTCTCTTCCTTCCTGCCCATGGCTCTGCTGCCTGGAGCTCTTCTTAGCCAGGACCTGTTTCTCTATCCCCACGTCTCTTCCCTCTGCACGCTCACAGTCCCCATCTCACCTGTTGTGTGCTCAGCTCTTCCCTGCAGACCCCTCCTGGCAGCAGGGCACTGCCCAGGGACATCTCTGTGTAAAGGAGCAGCTCAGACAAGTGCTAACGAGAACTGGGGTCTCATTGCCTACTGCAGAGCAGAGAAATAAATTCCCATCTCCCACTTCCCACCCAGGAAACCAAGAGGAGAAAATTCGAAGCACAGATTTCTACCCTTTCAGAGAATGCCCTGCCTTGAAATCCACCTTTAAATTGAGCAATCTGCAAAAGTTCTCCGAGTGATGTAGAAGTCTGAGCAGCCCTGACCCATGCTGCACCCTCTGGAGAACAGGATGCTGCCCTGCAAGGAGTCATTCCTTCCACACAAAGGTTCCACCCATAGCATTTTTGGGATCTCCCCAGGAAGGCTGTGTGCTGACCCTGGCAGGTGGCAAAGTCCTGCCCTGGTGCACAGCCCCCTGGGTCCCCAGGACCCTGCTCTCAAGGGAAGCTATAGGCAATACTGGCTGTACACCCTGGTGAAAACTCTCCTGGAGTGTTCCCCAGGAGAAGGTCATGCCCTGTCCTTCTGTCAGTGCAGCAGGGAGTCCCTGCTCTGCAACATCTCCTCCTCCTTAACACTAGGGAATCTGTAAGAGTCCTCCTGAAAGATCATATCTGCTGTGGGATGTACCGGCTTTTTTATATCCCTCCAGGAACACCAGCTCCACTGTCCTGCACCCAGAGACATACCATGTAGAAGGCTGTGCAGATCTCTTTGCACAGTGGGATCTCATCATTCTCCAAACCCACACAGCCTGTAACAGCTCTCCTACTTCTCTCCTCTCCCCTCAGTGCCTGCAGGCAGTGCCCTCGGCCCTGCTGTGCTTTGCGGAGGAGCTGCTCCTGGGCAGAGCTGTCTCTCGGCACTGCTGCCCACTTGCCATCAGCTCCCTCCATCCCTGGAGCCCAGCCCAGCTCAGCAGCAGAGGACCAGCCCAAGGCAGCACTTGCTCTGCTCCCTCTGGGCTCCCTCCAGGTGTCCCTGGGTCTCCAGGGGAACCTGCTGTGAAACAGGCTGAGGTCATTCCTGATGTTCCCTCCCTTATCTGGGGAGAGGCACTTCTTTCCTGCACTGCCATTACTCTTATTATGAAAAATATTTTGCCATGAGAATCATAGGTTTTGTCCCATCATTAGACAGGACAACAGGAACATGACAGGGAATGATCTACTTTCTCCAAGCTGGGAGGATGCAATCAGTTGAGCAAATTTAGGCATTTCTTTGTCAGTCTTTAGACCTGGGCCTAGAAAGACATGCAGCTCTCTTTTGTCCATGCCATGTCTCTGCTCTGAAGCAAAGCCTTTGCACACACGAGGCCATGGATGCTCGGTACCAGGTTCCTTATGGCAAGTCAGAGCTGGCCTGGTTCCACAGCTGCAGGGCTTCAGCCCAAAGGTGCAGCAATGCCCTCAGCCAGGGGCACAGGTTGGAACAGGCTGCCCAGGGAGGTTGTGGAGTCTCCTTCTCTGGAGATATTCAAAGCCCGCCTGGATGAAGTCCTGTGTAGCATGCTCTAGGTGAGCCTGCTTTAGCAGGGGGGTTGGACTAGATGATCTCCTGAGGTCCCTTCCAACCCTTACGATTCTGTGATTCTGTGATTCTGTGATTCTGTGATCAACCAGCGGTGGATGGGGATCAAGTCAGGGATCACTTGAGCAAATGCAATGCTTACCAGTCTCTAGGACAGGAGGGGCAGCACCCCAGGGAGCTGAGTGAGCAGGCCAATGTCACAGTGAGGCCACTCTCCATCACCTTTGAGAGGTCATGGAGACCATGGGGACTCCCTGACAAGGGGGGAAATGCACCAATGAGTTTCATACACCTTTCCAAAATGCCCACGGGCTGTGCAGAGGAGCAAAAGGCAGTGCCCCAGAGCGTGTTCCCTCAAATTCCATTTCTGGGTGTCTGAAAGAGAAGGGGACTGGATTTACCCAGGGTCACTTGTCTCTCACCATCCTCTTTGCTTTCTGTGATGAAAAGACAGGATTGCTGCTCAGGGGAGTGGGTGGCTGTCTTTTACCCTGGAAGTCAGTGAAGTTTTCAACATCACCCCTCAACCTCTGCAATATTCTTATGCCCAGTTTAGGATATTATGGTCTGTCTGTGTGGATAAGTAGATGGGTATATAGCCAGATGGATGGTCAGTCTCAGAGCGATGTGGTCAATGCATGGTACTCTGCCTGGAGGTCTGTATCTAGAAGGGTCCTGCAGGGCTCTGTCCTGAACCTCCCCTGTTTAATGTGTTTTTAATGATCCAGAGGAGATGAGAGTGCTTCTTCAGAGCATTTGTAGATGACCCCATATTGAGGAGAGCAGACACTACACTGGAGGGCAGGGTGGCCATCCCAAAAGACAAAGACAGGTCAGAGGGGTGGGCAAAAAATAACACAATGATATAAATAAAGACAAATCTGAAGTTCTGCCACTGAGGTGCACTAATGCCCTGCTATGACAGAGGCCAGGTGCTGTGTGGCTGGGTAGGAGTTCTGCAGTAAAGGCTATGGTGGTCCTTGGATTTCATAAAGCATCAGCAAAGGCAGCCAACAGCACCTTTTGCTTTTCTTTTGATTTCTTGAAATTATAAGCTCTTCTCTTCTATTATCCTAATGCCCCCCAAAATGAACACCCTCCAGTATTGAACTTTTCCCTATTGGCCATGCATTTCTTTGTTCCATTCCCTCTTTTGGTATTTCTTGAAATTTTGTTGTGGTACTTTTCAACCTTGCATAGCAACTCCATTGAGCACATCATTCTCTTTCAGTACTTGTCATGTCCTGCGATTCCCTGCATTGTTATCTTGTTTGAGACACTGGCCCACAAACCTTAAATTCTGATGTTTTGGAATTTTGGTCCTGAGGGACCTCGACACATGTAGGGACTTGGTCAGCTGGAACTTCCTGAAGTTTTACAGAGAAGGGGGCAATGTCTGCACTGGGGCAGAATAACCTTGTGCATGAGGACAGGCTGGGACCTGACTGGCTGAGCATTTTTCTGAGAAGTTAATGGGAGTTACGATGGATGCCATGTGAACCTGGGGGTTTCCCAGTTTGAAAGACGTTGGAGAAACTGGAGTAAGGTCCAGGGGAAGTCTGTCATGATGGGCTTATGAGCCTAAGCACATAAGCTGTGTGGAGCAGCTGAGACAAGTGGGCCTCTTTAGTCTGCTGAAGGGGAGTCTAAGAGAACAGAGCAGTTAAAAATCTGGTGACACCTGCCTGGAGAGGTGGTGGAGACAAACTCTTCTGCAGTGGCAGATGGTATGGCAGAGGGAACAGCCACAAGCTTCTTCCCAGGGTCTTCAAACTGGGCCTCAAAATAAACCTGACTCAGAGGGTGATGCTAGACTGCAACAGGACCCCCAGAGACTCTCTGTGATCTCCATCTGTGGAGGTTTTCAGGTTTTAGATCTACAAAGTCACAGCTGACCTGACCCAAGGGTGGTAATTACCCACCCTTTGGTGAGAGCCTGGACCGGAGACCCCAGTCATCCCTTTTCCAACCATCTGTTCCATGAACTTGTGCCTTGCAGTGTGCCCCAGGAGAAAGGAGTCAGCTGGACACGAG